TCTACAAGGCAAACCTTAAATATCTCTCTTATACGTCCTAGCTGATGAATCTGGGAAAACTGCTAGCACAGAGGGTTGGCAGGCAGTTTTCATTTTGTACCTGCACAGCACAAAACAGAGAAGAAAGGCCAGAGTTGGAACTACTTGAATGAAATGATGAAGTTCTACACAACCAGTTATTTCAGGGTCAGCTGGAGCTTTTCTGCTCTTTCCATTCTAGTTATTTCTCTTTGAGAGGAAGTTCCTTTCAAGTTAGGAATAGTTAATGTTACTAATTGATAAGTGTATATTTTCATTAAAATCAGCAATTCCTTACGCAAACAAAAATGGATAATGTTATGGCATTATGGATATAACCAACTTATGGATAATGTTTGTGACTTCAACCAGTATTTAAGAACTATGACACTGATCCCAAGCTCTTACCCTCACCCAAAACTTGAATTTAATGTAAAAGTTTAAAATGCTACTGAATGTAGTAATTTTAGAGAGTTCCTATACCCATTATTTTCTCAACTAAACTCAGGAAATACATTTGCACATGAAGAAAGATATAAATTATTGCAATTATTACTTCTAATTTCTAACAGAGACCAGCAGTGGGCTGTTTAACTTTAAAATACATTATGCATTCCCATAAGATTACAAATTAAAAATAAATGACATAAATCAGGTGGGGAAGATAACAAGCTAATGGAGGAGCAGTCAGAGAAGGGAGACAGGGTAAACTCTGAAGTAATACAGTAATTTAGAATGATTAAATGCAAAACACAGCAGAGTAATTTCTTTATAGGAACTAAACAAGTTTCTCGTAGATGATACAGAAGTAAAAACACACGTGGGATCTGAACAAAGTAATACACAGGATGTTTATAAAATAGCTGTTTGGAATTTAGAGTAAAGTTTATTGCACTTACTATACTGTTTGTATAAAAAACCCAAAATGTGTGTTTAATACTTTCAAAATTCAGCAAGCATGTATGCAATTTAAAAATGGCATTTGAAAGCCACATGCATGAGGTCTGGTGTTCTTTTCTATGAGAAGCTTAACATTAACTTTGCTGAGAGTGAAATATGACTTATGTGCAATATAAATTATGCTCCTTGGCACCAAGCCATGACTATTTAGCTGATGCAGCAGGTTGTGACTGATACTGTGAAGTGATGTTATCACCTTTTTCCTCCCTCTACTTTGAGCAGCTGAACAGAAAAGACATTACTGATTTCTTGGGAAAGGATTAGTAAGTAAGCATCCCTACGCAGTCTGTTTTTTGCCTGAAGCTGGTACACAGGGAGAGGGAAGATAACCCTTCTTCACTACAAAGGGTCTTCTATGACCATAAACATTTTTCAAAAGCTCTTCTCACTGTAGCTCACAGCCAAAGCAGTCATAGGTGCAACAACACTATCAGCGGGGCGAGACAACCTTCCATTGCAGGTGTCCTCTGAGACAGTATTTCATAGAAATACATTTGCCTGGACAAAGCCAGGATGTGTTTGACATGGCTGGAAGGAGACACTGACAGCAGGGAGCCAGGGAATAAAATGCCTCCTACTCCTTGGGTTATGAAAATTATTCTTTAATAATCCCCTTCTGTTGGAAGAAATATTTTTTTCAGAATGCCTGTCTTGTAGGACCTATTGAAAATAAGCAGCTCTCCATAATACAAGGTTCTGCACATTTTTGAGCTGGATTTGAAGTGATAAGAAACATTTATAAGAGTGCTTAAGCTATTAATGGAGCAAACACTGTTGCCTACTACTACTATCTGGTTGCTCTACTTGTCTCTTCTTACTTTCTCACACTGTTGCCTCCATACCGCAGCACAGCACACCAACACCACCATATTTAAATGATGCTTTTCAGCGAGTTTCCTTTTCTAAAGTTAGGAGAAAACCCAAAACCAAACTATAAATAAAAATGTAGACCATATCATTATGTTCTTAATGTCATCTCCTTTCACAGGAATAAAATCCCCCACTTAAAGGCAACTATCTGAAATATGAAACAATGGCAGTTCTACAGAGCTCAAACATATTAACATAATGATATGTTTAGAACAAAGTGGAAAAAAATACTGTATTTAATTGAAATTGCTAGAGTAATGCAATTATTTATAATGAATGAATGGAATTTGTATTTCTCAGGGTTGAGACTTGGGACATTCTTCCTTCCTTCTGGTAACTTCAAGTTTTCAGTAAGAAAAGTTGAACAGGACATGAGCTGGTCAAAGGACAATTCCAGAAAAAGCGCTGGTTACCTTCTTCCAGGACACTGGGTCAGAACTGACTCAAAGGAATATTTTCCACTATATGAATAACTTAATTACATGGTTCCAAGCACTGCAGATTCCTTACAGTTTGTCTGCTACTTAGCCTAGTATACTTGTTTAGATTAGGTTCTGACATAACATATACTCATAAAGTACTGGCTTCAGGCCTTCATTAGAAATGGACCAAAATTTTACTACAGTAAGTCAGCTTTATGAAATGTCTTTGATTAAATGCCAACTAAGAATGATATAGCATTTTGGCCCCATATTTTGATTAAAATAAATTGAAGTCATTTAGGACTATAGCTGAGCTTAATGGTAGCATAAAGAAACTATTATACATGAAAGGTACCAATTATCAGTCAAACTTTGATAGTCTACAAAGTTCTTTATGTGGCAACAAATTCCCATTAGAACCACGGTGTTGATGCTGGCAATGCTTTTCAACAATGACTTGCACATTAGTTTCTGTGGGGCACTGTAGATGTGCTGGAAGAATGAGAAGCTTAAATCTACTTCACATAGTAGTTTTACCTACCAGAAGAAGTCACAGAAAACTATTTGTATCTGAGTCTCCCTGGCAGGTATGAGAGACCTACAGGGTATATTGGCTATGATGAAATATAGCAGGACCATCCTTAGCCAATAAAAGTTGCTGCACTGGGAAATTGCAGCTCCAAAAGCAGCAGTATGAAAATGAATTCTCCACTATTTATAAAAAAACCCAAACAAAATTATCTCATTGGTAAGAAGTGGATACATTGGCATTATTCTTAAATATTATTGGTGTTGGGTTAAATGTATCCTCCCTAATCATGTTAGCACTTCTTAACATTCAAGAGGATTAATTTTTTCCCACTGAGGCTTGTGAAGCATTATCTATAGAAGATCATATTAGAAGGGACAGGAGTGAATTTCATGCATCGGATTTGAAGTAATTTACAAAACTCATTAAAATTCCAAAGATGCAAAATGGGTATTCTGTGATGGGTTTCTGTGAATCTGGAGAACTGATTCCCACCCCCCATGGGAATACTTGAAGCACAGAGGAAATTCTGCAGGCAGAAACAGAAAAGCTCCACAACTGACATGAAAAATCTGCGTAGTAAATTGAAATATATCATTGTTGTGTGTTTTTCAACTGAAGCCTGTTAAATACAGTCTAAGTGAGTATGGGAAAGCAGCAGAGACTGCTACATTTTATTTTAGTGGGTGTTAGTTTTGCATGGGAATCACAAATGGTGTAGTAACTTTAAACAACTGTGGTGATAGCAATGCAAAATTAAGACAATAATGAGAGAGGATAGAAAAATGCAGTTTTTATCTTCTCCAGGACAATTTAGATAATTCTTTTCCCCACAATTTATACTTAAATACCTTCTTTACTGTGTAACTAATAAATGTTGCTAATGGATTAGCAAAGTTTGAACGAGAAATAGTATCTTTCATTAGACCAGTACACATGCTGCTTGGGGCTGACTATCTCTTCAGAAGAACTTGCCAAAGAAAACCACCTCTATTTTCTCTGCCAGCATCTCTTGATTAAATAGAAGATACCACCTACCCTACATATCCTGCTTAAATTCAAAGACCATCACAGCTATTACAAACTAGTCAATTTATTTCAGGGATATCCAAGTATCTGATAAACCTTTAATCCTGTATCAGCGACTACAGAACCCAAGAGGTAAATACAATGCTGACTCTGGGTTCATTGAAGTTACCAGGCTCTGCTGCAAAAAGAAATGTGTCAGGCCTATAGATGTGAATATAGATACTGAGCGAGGCATGCAGCACAAGATGAATCAAATAAATATATGGAGACAGGTACTAAGACAGATATCAGCTATCCTGTTAATCCAGAGATCACCTAGGCCCTGTAACAGGCATATTTATCTCCAGAGGTATGATTTTCTTTCTGAATTGCTAGACATGCTTTTGTTGGCTTCATGTAATTTTAGCTGCTAAGCTGCTCTCTCCAATTTTTGGATCAAAATTCAGCCTTGAGTTGAAAGTGGAAGTGAGCTTAAACACTACAAAGGAAGAAAACCAGAGATGAAATGTTCAGGATAGTCTCAAGATAGTGTTCACTGGCCCACAGATCCACTTTGAACTATATGGGCCTTACACTAGTTCGTGTGCATACTGGATAGAGTTTGGTATAGACATATGAAAGTGACAAATTACTGAAAGAATTGGCATTATAATTCAAAATCAGGGTCAAACCCACAAAATCAGTCACATTTACTGCCATTGCAGGGATTTAAAAGGGCAAGACACCACCAGGGCTGGGAGAAAGGCAGATTATTCCAGTAGCTGAATTACAACTAGATTGACAGTTTCTGTAGAGACTTCATCAGAAAAGCTGTTATTAAAACCCATCAGTATTCCAGAACTCCTGGAAATACACTCCTGGACTGCTGAAATCACTCTCTTTGTGTACATAAGCATGGGTGTATTGCATCTAGTACACTGCGTCCAAATCTTTGATTTACTTGAGTGTGTAGATGCATGGCATCCCATAGATATAAAAGAAGAAATTCTCTAATAAATATTAAATGGCAATGATTCAAAAAATTAACGACTCCTTCTGTCAGTTGAAGAGTGGATTTCTGCTGCCTATTTTCCCCACTTACAGAATGGCTCCCCAACATTTTGGTGTGGCACGTCAGTAAGACCTATGTCAACATTCCAGCCCTTGTTCAGAGATTCAGATCACAAACTCACCTGCTCCTGGGTCATCTTCTGCAGCTCTTTCTCCCAAGCTGCCCGGTCATCATCCAGGTGGTAGGAAGCAGGTGGGGTGAGACCACGTAGAATCAGGGGGTCACGGTCATGGCAGAGGGCTGTCAGATGTCCAATGTACAACTTCAACTTGCTGCGATTCTGATCAAGTTCTAAGAGGGGCTGAATTATCTGAAATAAGAGAACAGAGATAATGAGGAACAGCCTGAGACCTAAGCAGCGGTCAAGGCAAAGATCAACCTCTAAGTTACAACCTTGTTCAGCTCCATGCTGGAGGAAACCCACACACTGTCTCTCTTCTCTCCCCCCAAGTACTTCTATCCCATAACCCAGCAACCATCCAGCTGAAGCAGAAAGAAACCAACTACACTAAGGGAAGGGGACATGGTGATGATAGTTGCCTGACTAACACAGGAAATAATGATGATATAGGTGAAAAATGAGAGTGTTAAATTGCATGCATTAACTCTACTGATTGTCCAGCAATGCTTCAGTCAACTATTTCAACTCCCTGCTTTCAGAAAATTATTTTTTCTGGTAAAAGGTGTCTGTCCACAGCTAAGGCAACGGCAATGTCGATTTAATTCATTTTGCCAACAAACATTTAATTGTAACTTAAGTATGCAATAAACACATTCTAAAGAGAATAGTTTCAGATGCCAAGATGTTTGTTCTTAAGATGAGTGTATCTCTGCTGTAGAAACTGGATAGAGACATATCTTCAACAGAAACTTAAGATACAGTTTTCTGTATTTTCTATAGTTACGAGATAGTCTTCTACAGTTTTGAAAAAGGCAATGACTTCCATTTATTATGCAAGTCAGATTCTATACCACAGACTAAAAAAATTAAATCAAAGGACTTTAATACATACTATATTATTTTATTATACTTAACCTAAACTGAATCTAAACCTTGTTCCCCAATGCAATCCAAACTGGAGTCATAGAATTCCCATTCAAAGTATCTGAAGAGCTACTTTCCATTTGCTGTACAAAAATACAGAGCTGAAGTGCATAAATACATACTTTGACCCGGGTAACTATAGACCAGTCAGCCTCACCTCCATCCCTGGGAAAGTGATGGAACACCTTATCCTTGGTGCCATCTTAAGGCATATCAAGGGTAAGAGGGTTATGAGGGGCAGTCAACATGGCTTCACGAAGGGGAAGTCATGCTTGACCAATCTTATAGCCTTTTATGAGGAAATAACACGGTGGATGGATGATGGTAGAGTGGTGGATGTGGTCTATCTTGACTTCAGCAAAGCGTTTGACACGGTCTCCCACAGCATCCTTGCAGCTAAATTGAGGAAGTGTGGTCTGGATGATCGGGTAGTGAGGTGGACTGTGAACTGGCTGAAGGAGAGAAGCCAGAGAGTTGTAGTCTATGGGGCGGAGTCTAGTTGGAGGCCTGTATCTAGTGGAGTGCCTCAAGGGTCGGTACTGGGACCAGTATTATTTAATATATTCATCAACGATTTAGATGAGGGAATTGAGTGTACTATCAGCAAGTTTGCTGATGACACTAAGCTGGGAGGGGTGGCCGACACGCCAGAAGGCTGTGCTGCCATCCAGCGAGACCTGGACAGGCTGGAGAGTTGGGCGGGGAATAACTTGATGAAATATAACAAGGGAAAGTGTAGAGTCCTGCATCTGGGCAGGAACAACCCCAGGTTCCAGTATAGGTTGGGGAACGACCTGTTAGAGAGCAGTGTAGGGGAGAGGGACCTGGGGGTCCTGGTGGACGACAGGGTGACCATGAGCCGACACTGTGCCCTTGTGGCCAAGAAGGCCAATGGCATCCTGGGGTGTATTAGAAGGGGGGTGGTTAGTAGGTCGAGAGAGGTTCTCCTTCCCCTCTACTCAGCCCTGGTGAGACCTCATCTGGAATATTGTGTCCAGTTCTGGGCCCCTCAGTTTAAGAAGGACAGGGACCTGCTGGAGAGAGTCCAGTGCAGGGCAACTAAGATGATTAAGGGAGTGGAGCATCTCCCTTATGAGGAAAGACTGAGGGAGCTGGGTCTCTATAGTTTGGAGAAGAGGAGACTGAGGGGTGACCTTATTAGTGTATATAAATATATAAAGGGGGAGTGTCACGAGGATGGAGCCAGGCTCTTCTCAGTGGCAAACAATGATAGGACAAGGGGTAATGGGTACAAACTGGAACACAAGAGGTTCCACTTAAACTTGAGAAGAAACTTCTTCTCAGTGAGGGTGACGGAACACTGGAACAGGCTGCCCAGGGAGGTTGTGGAGTCTCCTTCTCTGGAGACATTCAAAACCCGCCTGGACACGTTCCTGTGTAACCTTATCTAGGTGTTCCTGCTCCAGCAGGGGGATTGGACTAGATGATCTTTTGAGGTCCCTTCCAATCTCTAGCATACTGTGATACTGTGATACTGGAAATCCCTCACAATGCCTACCCCACAAGAATACTGCTTTATATTGTTCTAGGTGTTTGTGAGCATATATTCAAAACTGCAGTAATAAAACACTCTTAAGGTTTGCAGCTGATGAAAAATTATGGGAGAATTTGGCTTAGTGCCTCCATTCCATAACATGATGTGCTGAAGCTACAGGCACTGATGTGCACCAGCTAGGAGAGCTGGAAAGCCTTACTGCAATACTAGCAACTTGATGTGTTCCCAGGCAGGGGCTGCACCTGCTGTTTGTTAGTGGGCTGTGGATATCTTTTCAATAGGGCACCTCTGACCTTGCTAATGAATAAGGAGTGAGATAATCTCTGAGTCAACAGAAACAGGGTGCTGGCACTACTTTCAACAAAGACTCTGGCTTTGACCCCTTTTAATAAGGCTGTCAAGGATGACTTATTCTGATTCTAACACTGTTCTACATGGATTAATTTCTGTAGAGTGAGAGTATATGAGAGCCATGGCTAAGCAGCTAACTAATGTCAGGCTCCTTGTCCTGCAGAGCACAGCTGCACTCAGCAGCCTACATCAGAACATCAGGTTGGCAGCAGTTACGAAAAGCCACAGCCACAGCGACAAGGCAGCTGTAGAGAGTGAGCTCATGTGCTTTATTATAGCAAGGAGAGAGTGAGCTCACGTGCTTTATTATAACCGTACTGCTATGCGCAGCCTTGGGGCAACACCTGTTTGCAGACAGAAACACATATAAAAATAATGGTTTGATGTATCAAGACTGCAAACTGCAGCAGGGCAGAATACTCCACTCTCCTGTACACAGAGCAACAGGAAGGGACATTTATATCTCACTTCTATCATCAAGCACAACTGTTTTTAGCCAATTGCATCCCTCAGCTTTGGTTGTTTGCTGAACTCGCAATGTTTACGCCAGTTACTTACTATTCAGTTTGCCCACAGAGGGTAGAGTGATGGAATATCACATCTTAAAAAAATACTGTTTTATAAAAGTGTGTTAAATTAAGTAGTCAATGTCTAATAACTACCTGTCCAATCAATGTAGTAGCTGCCTTGTTTTCTTTTCAGGTACTGCAGTCTATTAAATATCACTCAGATGTGCAGATTTCAGTCTGAAAAGAATCTGACTTGCCAACTTCCTGGCTATTTGTGAACAGAAACCCTCCTTGACAGAGAAAGCAAAGCTACCTAGCAAGTAATAATGGAAGATATTCATACAACAGCACATTCCTTCTCTACCCTTCCCCCTTACCTCAGGCTGGAAACATGCCAAATGAGGCGTGTGAAAGTTCTTAACTAGCAGCCCTCCCAAAGCTGTTCGCAGAGCAATCATTCCTCTCACTTGGGATCCATTAAACCCTGCCAGTCAAGTAGGAAATGCCCTTATATCTGCGTTCCTGCCATATCTAATTTGAACTAGCCACTTAGCAAGAGGCACTGTGCTTCCCACACAGCTGAGCTGCCACTGCCTTATCTCAAGAGGGTGTAAGAGCATTTGCTAAGTGGAAAGGCAGGGCAGTGCTGGACTCATAAACCACATAGGGTTCTCATGATCAGTGCAGAGCTGTGGAGCCTTCTAGGAAAACAATGAGTATACAGACCAAACCCAGGAATATCTTTCTAAAGCAGCTCTGATTCATTAATTGCCCCGATAGGTCTAGGCCATCCTCATCAATGCATGGAATGAAGTCTGCTTAATGTACCCTCAAGTTCAGAATATTGTTAATGGCCAGCTAAGTTTGACAATGTGTTTTGCTAAAAAAAGCAATCACTACAACTCTGAAGCAGAAACATTAAAAGCTTGAAAAATCTCTGATATAAATCCAAACCATCTCTACCAACTGATAAAGACTTTTGGGAACATATTCTAAAACAAATTCAACTTGAAAACAGCATGTTCAGTTTTCTTGAGATTTCACAGATTTTTTTTTGTTTGTTTTTTAAACTCTGAGTATGACAGATGTAAATCTAAGTGTAGTTGCACAAGTCACTGAGGCAAAAAAATGCTTTAGAACGAAACTAATCCTGCTTCTTCAGTGGTAGTTCTGCTGTTGCTGTACAATGGTCAGCTGAACTACGAGTTACTGCATTTAAAAGTTTTTTATTATAGGAGTCTGCATTGAAATATGCATATATATGCTGCATGGCTAAGAAAAGGTATTTGTAACTGAATGTGGTTGGAGAGACCTATCTAAATGTTTGGTCAGTTTTACTGTGAAAGATGAATACACCTACCACACAAAGACTAGTGTCTAAAAGTTTGTCTAAGCAGTGCCTAATGTATACATGCATAAACAGGTATGTGGCTATATGAAGAAGAAAACCAGTGAATGGATGGTATAAGTGCAGCAGTGTTGATCCAAAATAAATGTGATATTGACTACCCATAGACATCTGTGGCATAAAGTATGGTTTTAATCGATGTGTAACATGACTCATTCACAACAACCACCAGCTTTAAATTATGGGTTCTGCAGGCAGAAGGGCTAATGACCTGGTCATCTTTCTCCCTGCTAATGTTCCCTTCTCTGAATGAAGCAACCACTTTTCTTTTGCGGAACTAAGTAATTAACTTTAGTAATTTCAGAGAATACCTTCTAAATGTCTACTTAGCAATAAACTTGCAGCTCCCATGTTGAAGAAAGTCTTACAAGCACCCCTAAAAGCTTGTCTGTTTTTCCAGCTGCACCAGCTGGTCCTGTAAAAGTTATCTCCTTACACAACTTGCCTCACTTAGCAGAACCATGCATCAACATGCATGTTG